CAACCCTGCTCCTGCTGAGTTCCAGCTCCAACCATCCCAACCCTGCTCCTGCTGAGCTCCAGCTCCAACCATCCCACCCCAGCCCCACCTGGAGGGCCATGCAGACCTACAGTACCTCGTCCCTGCAGACCTTTCGAGCACCAGTGCTAAAACCAGGGGAAACACCCCCCCCTAAAAAGTTCTCCATCACTCACCTGAGCAATGAGGATGCCCAGGACAATGCCCAGCTGGTGGAAGGTCCCCAGGGCCCCCCGGAGCGCAGTGGGGGACACCTCACCCACGTACATGGGCACAAAACCGGTGGTGAGGCCGGAGTAGAGGCCGATGATGAAGCGGCCGAGGATGAGCATCTCGAAGGAGAAAGCCATTTTGGAGAAGCCCATGAGCACGGCCGACACGAAGGCCAGGATGTTGGACATCAGCATGGAGTTGCGTCTGGGAGGGGATGGGAAAAGGACCATGAGGAACATTGGGAGAACCCCAACATCAGCCCTGGGCAGGAGGGAGGTGCCCAAACCCACCCTAGTGGGATGCCAGCATGGGGTGAGGCTGCACAAGCCCCTCGTTGAGGTCCACCATGGATCCACCACGGATCCCCCAGGGACCTACCACAGACCCACCATGAATCCACCGTGGATCCACCACAGTTTCCCCAGGGACCCAACACGGATCCACCACGGATCCACCAGAGATCCACCACAGACCCACCAGAGATCCACCACAGACCCACCATGGACCCACCAGAGATCCACCACAGATCCACCATGGACCCACCAGAGATCCACCACAGACCCACCATGGACCCACCACAGACCCACCACGGACCCTCCAGGGACCCACCATGGACCCACCAGAGATCCATCACGGACTCACCATGGACCTACCACAGATCCTCCAGGGACCCACCATGGACCCACCACGGACCCACCAGAGATCCACCACAGATCCACCATGGACCCACCAGAGATCCACCACAGACCCACCAGAGATCCTCCAGGGACCCACCATGGACCCACCATGGACCTACCAGGGCCCCTCCAGGCTCTGTGCTCACCTCCCAAAGCGATTGACGAAGAGCCCCACGGAGAAGGAGCCGATCATGCCCCCGACGGAGAAGATGGCGACGGAGAGGGACCAGAGCGTGGTGAGGGTGGCGGGGCTGATGGGCTCCTCGTATCGGTACAGCCACGTGCGGTTGTAGAAATCCTCAATCACCTGGAAATCGGCGGGAGAAACCAAGGCCCGGGTTAAACCCGCCCGTGCCGCCGGCAGAGCCGCGAGGGCTCGGCCACCTCAGCTCACAAGACGATGCGTCAGCGGGAGCCGCCGGGGCTCGGCTCCAGCCCCAGGGAGGGACCTGCTGGGATGCGTGGGGGAAATGCAGCCGGACGGGTTCTGGGCTCGCCCTGCCCGGGGAGGGACACGCTCGGCGCTGCCAAAACCCCGCTGCCGCCTCGCCGGGCACGGGCAGGTCACGCCGCTCCCCGGGGCACCGCGCAGGATGAGCCGGCCCTGGGAGAGCAGGAGGAAGGGCAGGAACACAGCAGCAGGTCCTGAGAAGTTCCCAGCCCCTTGGACACTCCTGGAATTGGGGTTCCAGGGGTTTTTTTCCCCCCACAGTAATTCCATAACGTGCCGTTTGTGCCGTGATTCTGGAGCGCTGCAACGCTGAGACCAAACACGTTTGGTTTGAAACACCACCTTCACAGAATACCCTGCTTGTATTTCTTACATCTTTTTATATACATTTTATATATATCTTGTGTAT